CCCCAGTCCTCAGGGCAGCAAAGCTGCCCTCTGCTGCCGGTGTCTGGGTGCCCAGTCACCACTTGTTGGTGCCCTTAGCCCCACCCACACTTCTGTAAATAGTCCCTCCATTAAAGTCTTCTCATCTGAACCTTCCGACTGGTGCATGGAGAGAGAGCAAAGGCACCAAGGGTCCCAGTCTGTGTAGGACTGGTTTTCTGAGGCAGCAGCGGTGCAGGTTAGAGGGGAGAAGGAGGTGGAATAAACTTGGGACATGTGGGGCAGGACCCGGGAATCGAACACAATAGTAGATCTGGCTCACATGGTTCTAAGTGATAGGTTATTGTTACTGGTCTGTGCTGGTGCTGACACCGGGGACCCCTTCTCTGGTGAGGGGAAGAGGCAGGGGTCTTGGGCAGTGGAGATACACTTGGGGACACAGTTCACTCTGGGAAATCCCTTCTGCATCTAACAGGGCTCAGTTCCAATGGGGTGGGGAGCCCAGACCTGGGCATGAGACTGGAAGCAGCTAGCAGTCTGAGAGTCGTGAGAAAGAGTCGGTTCCACCAGAGAAACTGCAGTAGGTGATATGGATGAAGGCAGGGAGGTTGAGGGTTATTTTCATGGTCTTAGAGGAGTCTGAGTAGGGATGAGACCAGGGGCGGGCAGGAAAGGACACATGAAACAGAAGCCCACACCCTCTGTTTTACGTGGTGATAAATGTATGGTGGCAGAATCATAGCTCTTGATTATGTGGCTTTGGCTTACTCTTTAGTGATGGTAGGGGGATGGAAAGGATTATTATAAAAATGGGCAAAGACACTGGAAAACTGTCTCTGGCACATGAAGGGAGATCACAGAATGTTTAGGAAGTGAGTTGCTGGTGTGTTACACATAATAGAGGAATTCTGTTGGTAATATATGATATTGACTCGGCTTGGGTAGAGTCATCTAGGGACCAGCCTCCCAGCCTCCTGGCCTCGTGTTAGGCGAGTTTCTCTTCAGTCCTGCATGAGGTCTCTACCTCTACATAACCAGGACATCATGGCTCCATCTCCACCTCTGCTCACTTTGCTGCTAGTGACTCAGGAATGCCTGGACACCATACTCCCTCCATGACCCAGATGCCTCTGTCCAGGCATTCACACAAGGCTGAAGCGGGGCAGCCTACATTTCCTTTTCCTCTCCTCTCCCCTTATCCCTTTCAGCACCTCCACAATAGAATATGAGAGGAGGCTGGAGGTGTAAATTTTTAGTAAAAAAAAAGTCAAGTGTGTAAAAGTCTCACTTTATGTCTCTATAACAGATTAAATTAGTTCTTGAGTCTTGACTTGCACATTTTGGAGAAAATTTGGTTTTTTTGCCAATCCCATATATAAATGCATCTGTATCTGTCTCTGGGGTTTTATTCTACTTCCTTGGCCTATTTAATGACTATAGCTTTGTAATAAATATTGGTCTCTGGTAAAATAAGTCCCTTCTTTAAAAAAGTGACTTGGCGTGAATTTTGCAATAAGCTTGTCAAGTTCACTACTGATTTTTGTTTCTGGATCTTATAGCCGACTACCCTGTTGTACTTTTTCATTAGTTCTATTAGTTTTTACTAGATTCTTTTGGTTTTTCTGTGTCGACAATTATATTATCTGCAAATAATTCTTATATAATTTTTCTTATCTTATTATGTTGACTTCTACTACAGGTTGAATGGAAGGGATGAAAACAGACTTTTTTTTTTTTAAATCTTGTTCTTGCTTTAAAAGGGAGCACCAACTTCTCTTTCATTCTTTTTTTTAAGGTTTTATTTTATTTTTAAAAATTTTTGAGAGGGTGTGTCCTCACACATGCACATGAGTCAGAGAGGGGGGCAGAGGGAGAGGGAGAGAGCAAATCTTAAGCAGGCTCCACACCCAGCCCAGCACAGAGCCTGACGTGGGGCTCAAACTCATGACCCTGAATCATGACCTGAGCCAAAATCAAGAGTCCACACTTAACCGACTGAGCCACCCAGGCTCTCCCTCTTTCATTCTTATCATGGGACTCCCATTCACTTTTTAAGAAACTCCATGTCTACCCAAAGGATTTGCCTCACCCAGGATCTACCCCTCTCCCCTTGGGATACTTTCTCTGGTGCTGAGGAACACTGTCCATGAGAAGGCCCTCAGGGTTTCAAAAGGCAGTTCAAGGCTTTTGACATTCCAGGTCCCACAGAGGATGAGCTCTTCCAGAAGTCCCCATCTGCATATTTTGTAGACATACCTCTTCACCCTTCACATTTTCCAGTGAGCTGCTGTTAAATCAGGTGGAAAGGCATGTGACTATGTGTTCTCTCTCTCTCAGTATCTCCCTCCCTCCTTCTCCTCTTTCTTTCTCCGAGGAGAGCGAACTTTTTTCCCTAAAGATTTTTATTTATTTATTTGAGAAAGAAAGAAAGAGAGAGAGAACACATGAGTGGAGGGAGGGGCAGAGGGAGAGGGAAAAGCAGATTCCCCACTGAGCAGGGAGGTTGATGTGGGGCTCGACCCCAGGACCCGAGATCACCACCTGAGCAGAAGTCAGCTGCTTAACAACTGAGTCACCCAGGTGCCCTGAGAGAACTTATTTTTTGAACTACTCCTGGATGAGGTGAGGTGCCTTGTGCTCCCAACAGCTATTAACAAGGGAACCCTGATAACAACCCACATTTCACTTTGCCCACTGATCTCACTCCTACATTAAGGACTTCCAGGTGGGGCAGGGGTGGCGGGGGATTTAACCATCTTTAAATGATGAAGTGAGATGACAGAGGCTTAAGCATGCAACCACATGTCAAGAGTGTCTCACAAAACCTGGCAACCATGATGGCAGCCCCTTCCAGCACCAGTTCACAATCTCTCTGGGTCATATGCAGGACTCTTCTTACAGGAGCCTGAGGAAGAGTGAGCTTGGGGAAGCATTCCATTGGTGCCTCCCTACTTCTTGATCCTAGGCTTCCCTGTAACTTAGATGCTTCTATTGCATCCCCACCTCCACCACCTAGATTTAGCCCATAAAGGAGAAAAGGACAAATACCTCTGGTATTCAACTAGCATTTTTTCTTTCTTTCCTAATCTTATAGGGACTGGAAGGAGTGGTCTTTGTTTTTTTCTTCCTCTATGGAAAGGACTTCCCTGACATCATAGTCTCCTTCCTGAAGGTTATTAAACTTCCTGGCTTGGGCTTAATGGTGGAAGGGCATCCTCACATTATGGAAAAAAATCCTGTGATTTGAGCTGGCCTGGTATGGTTGGGAATCCAAGATGACCAGAGACTTGAGATCACAGAAAATAAAAATACTCTGGTATTTTTATTATAATATCCATTATTATAATGGATATAACCCCCCAATATTATATCCATTATACATGATACAATGTTCTGGATTCATCTAGAAGAAATTCTGTTCCTATAATTAATCATTCTAAAAATAATAGATAATATCTATTGACTGCTTATGATGTACTATGCATTTTTCTAAGATATATATTTAATCCACATATAATCCTATGATGGAGGTACTATTATTACTCCCATTTAATACACAAGGAACTAAGGCCTGGATAAGGGGTAAGGTATCTTCCAAATGCACACGGTTAAGCAGGAATTACTGTTTGAAGTTGATTCTGTATGATTGTGTATCCCAGGCTCTTTCAGGCCATCCCTATCTCCTGGCCTCTTTCTTCATCCTGCTCTTCAGCCTGCTGCCCAAGTCTGCTCTCCCTTTAAACACTTGGCATTCTTTGTGCCAACCAAATAATTCATCATTCCATGTGTATCCCATCTCATTTCCCCTCTTCTACATTGTTGTTCATCCTGGCCCGTTTGCCTGGGATGCCCTCCCCCAACCATTCACTATGGTCCAGGGCTCTGCCTAACTACACCACCACCCCAAACCTTCTCTGATCCCCATGGCTGAAGGGAAATTGTCTTCTGAATTCCATTCTTGTGTTTACAGTGTCTCCATTTCAACACAGAATTAGCCACATGTTATTTCTTGTTCTCATACCAGTTTCTCTCTTGGAGAAACTGTCCCATATTTGGAGCTCTTTGAACATCTGTACAGGAGTAGGTGGCGCAAGCAAGTCCAGGAGGTAATGTGTGCCTGGTTGGCATACCTCAGGAGGGAGGCCGACCTGGTGACCAGAAGGCATTTGGTTCTTGGGAAGCATGAAGAATGACCCCTGCTCAGGGCCAGCTGGTAGTGACTTGGGTGAAGATTGCACGCTCTGTCTTGGGGGCCCTAGACTTGCTTTGTCTTTGAATATGAACCCGTTCTCTCACTATCTGGGTCAGGGTCACCTCTCATCACGATCAGCTTTCCTTCATGCTCTAGCATCATTTCCAAATAGCTCCATGTACCTTCAAATCAATGTGTTCAGACCTCCCTCTCTTGCAGCGAAAAGAAACACAGGAGCACTAGAGGGGTGGTGGTGTAATCCTCTTTGGTTTCTCTGGAATCCTGGAGTCTGGATTATGAAGTCACATGGATGGGATGCACTCTTTCCTTGATAGAGGGAGGGAAGGTATCTTTTGAGCAATTTAAGATTCTCCCAGGAGGTCAGAAACCAGTTTAAATGGCCCTTTAAACACTCTTAGAGAAGGTCATCTCCTTTGGGCTCTGCATACAGTGACTGAGTGCAGTCAGTTTCCACTGGACCAGAGTTAGACCTTGGGTCAATGTTTTGGCTCCAATGAGTGTTTGCTGTGTGTCCTTAAGCAAGTCTTTTCTTCATTTGGAATTTAGATCTCCTCACCTAAGCAAGGAGTAAGTTGAATCATATACCCTTAAAAGGTCATTTCCTGCTTGTGTGTGTGTATGTGTCTTCTTGAGCCCAAGGGAGAATAATGGTTAAATTGAAGAGATACATTTCAAAGCCATCGTTTCCCCCTAGAAAAAGAACTCTTTTAAGCTTTCTAATCACCTCCCACATGTCACATTCTCCCTCATAAGTCTAGAATTGGTTTTTGTGCCTGGGACCTCAAAGCCATCTTTTGATTTCTTTAATTTGAGAATCAACTTATTTGGATATTGGATGCTGAAAGAAAAACCTCTAATAGCTTCATCACAAAGCCATCTTTTCTCTTTTTCTGGCCAAAGAAATGGACCTGGTTTAAATTTTCAATATATGACAGTATGTATAAATGTTGACATAGCTGAGCTCATTAAAAGTCTCTTTTTTTTTTTTTAAAGATTTTATTTATTTATTTGAGAGAGAGAGAATGAGAGACAGAGAGCACGAGAGGGAAGAGGGCAGAGGGAGAAGCAGACTCCCCGCCGAGCAGGGAGCCCGATGCGGGACCCGATCCCGGGACTCCAGGATCATGACCCGAGCCGAAGGCAGTCGCTTAACCAACTGAGCCACCCAGGCGCCCCTCATTAAAAGTCTCTTAAACTTATCATCAATTCGTCTTGAGAAGAACAGAGTAAATACAAATGCAATTAATTATTACTTTAACACCAGTTAGGTGAATGGACAATCTCCATGCAAACAGCAATATACATTACACAAACAAGATGATTTGAAAACGAGGGGGTAACACAGGCACGGAGTAGTTTTTGCATGCATGTAACCAACGGGAGGCTGGATGCTGGCATGAGCTGCCACTGTTCTAAATAGCCTTCAACAAGTTTCTTCTCTGTTTCAGGGTTGAACGGTTTAGGTTTATATCTAAACATATGAACTGTTTATATCTAAACATATGAACTGTTTATATCTAAATATATGAACATACATAAAAGATTAGTGGGGAAAACATTTGAACACTGTGGTTAAGATTCCATATGTTGATTATTTAATTGGATAGCAACATAACACTTATTCACTGGAAAATCACAAATACGCACTGATATTTACAAAAGCTGTTTCAGTTAAATTTAAATTAAAGGAGGATGGTACATTTTAGGATAAAAAGGAAAAAGGGTCTGAATTCTTTTGTCAGACACAACTGGTGCCCAGTCTACTCTTAAAAAAATCTTTTAATTAGGAGAAGAGTCAGGATGGGGGTAATAAATCAAAGCACAGTTGTATCTGTAAGAAAAGCAGATAACTCCAAATACTTAGTTGCTTGGCTTTAGAATGCATTATGTAATTTTTGTAAACACAGAATTTACAAACCATTTGGTTGAAGCTAATATTAAAGTCAGTTTGCGTTTTCTGAGGTACAGTGATTGGGCTGAAGGTGAGTGTGCTGGGTGGTGATGGAAGAAAATGAAAATGTTGACTGAAGCTTCACTGTTGGGTACACAAACCATTAATTAAGAAACAAACAAGCAAATAACCCAAAAAAACCCTTTCTCTAGAGAAAAGTAGGAGTTATCCCAATGCGGATGGGTCAATCCCAAACCACGGGCCATTAGTAGTCTCTGCTTCAGAAGGACCAAGGAAGAACTGAAAACATGTATACACAATCACCACGGATGTATAATAATACAAACATATGCAGCCCAGGCCTGTGCTGCTTAACATGCAGGGAAGATTGTCAACACTTCTGAGGAGGTTGGGGGGGAGGGGCAGGTGTCCCTGAAATTCTGAGGTTAAATCTTCCACGTTTTAACCAGGACAGGGGTTCCTTTTTTTTGCCCCAGGGGATAGGTTGCACTGTGAAGAGTTCAGGGGTCTCTGGTCCGAAAAACAGGAATGAAAAATTGGGAACGTTTGTTCGCATTAAGTTACAGTGGATGGGGTTTCCCTTATCCAAACTGTTCAATATCACTTCTTCATTCTTATCACTGGTAGAGCTAAAAAGCACTTCCACCACGTATGGCCCCTGTGGGCACTCCCAAGAGTCCTGTAAGGGAGACAGCACAAGTGTTTTTATCCCACCCTTGTTTGGCTGAAGCAAAACGAAGAAGCAGAGAGAATAAGCAGCCAGTCACATAAATCTTAGAATTAAGACTTGAACCCAGGCCTTTCCTTTCCACGTAGAGCTCATTTCGTTTGTTCTCAAAAGAGATTTGTCCTAGAAAGTGACCCAGACCTTCGCCACATAGATTGTGGTCATCGCCAATGGCAAGCTCCATCCCTTTCTCTGTCCCCTTCCTCCCAGACCTTACAAGCCCTGAAACCCTTTACACTAAGGTGTCAGGGACTGGGTGTGTTCCTCATTTCAGGTCTGCATGTCTTCACCCAAAAGAATGACGAGCTTGCAAGAGTCAGTGGAAAAGAGATTTTTTTGGTCCTTTCCTTTGAAATTACACCATTGTAGATAACCAATGGCCTGGTTACGAGAAAACTGTTTTTCTCGCAGCCAGAATCCTAGAGAATATCTTTAGGGAGGTAGCAGGAACTGAGTGGGAAAGTTCAATGGGATGGCATGAACCCTCTTCCCACGAGGCTATAAACCCCACACTCTGACGAACTCTTTACGTTTGGTCATGGCTGAGTGGTTTATTCTATAGACTTCTGATGTTCCTGCCCTGATGAGATGCAGAATGCGGGCAGGGAGATGGAGAGTGAGTGGAGATAACCATCTGAGGCCCCTGACTGGCCCTAGCTTGGTGATTCCAACAGCTTTGGCCATTTTGTCTTGTTTAATTTTGGCCCACAGTAGGTAACGGGGGCCTTGTCGGATCTCCTTGGTGCGGCCAGCACACAGTAGGTGTTCAGTCAATCTCAGCTGCTGCTACCTGTCTCGAGTCTCACTGCCTGTGCGGACCGGGCGGCCTCCAGCCCCTCGAGGGCGTGAGGCGTGGAACACAGCGGTCCTTCCCCGGGCAGCCAGCCCAGCGTTAACTTGCCTACCGGCGGATTACGCGCAGAGCTCTGGCGTCCGGGCAGCCTGATTTATTTCAGCCTGATACAGTCCACCTCTTCCGTGGCCGGCGTGCCGCTGGTTTTGAGGTCCAGGTCGGCGCTGGACTTGCTCCCGTGGTGCGCGGGCCGCCAGCGGAGCTGCATCATCCTCTTGAAGTACTTCACGGTGTTGTTCTTGACCGTCACGAAGCACACGGTGTTGATCATGCTGTTGCTCATGGCGATGCACTCGACCACGTAGAAGGCCGTGAGGTAGTGCTTCTCCTTGACGAACACGGCGGGGAAGAAGTCGCGCACGATGGTGAAGCCGTAGAAGGGCGCCCAGCACAGCACGTAGGCCGTGAGGATGCACATGAGCACCAGCACCGTCCTCCTGCGGCAGCGCAGCCGCTTCCGGATCTGCTCCGTCTGGAAGCCCGGCACCGCCTTGAACCAGAGCTCGCGGGAGACCCTGGCGTAGCACAGGGTCATGGTCACCACGGGGCCCACGAACTCCACGCCGAAGATGAACAGGAAGTAGGACCTGTAGTAGAGCTGCTGGTCCACCGGCCAGATCTGGCCGCAGAAGATCTTCTCCTGGTTTTTGACGATGAACAGGACCGTCTCCGTGGTGAAGTAGGCCGACGGGATGGCGATGAGGATGGACACCACCCAGACCAAAGCGATCAGGTAGGAGGCCGTTTGATAGTTCATCCGAGGTTTCAAGGGGTGAACGATGGCGAGATATCTGGGCGAGGGGGGCGGGGGAGGGGAGGAGAGCCATCAGTAATAATGAGGTGTGCTGGGAAACGTTGGTCGGGAACTAAGCCCAGACACGCTGCAAAAGCAGACAGAGTGGCACAACGAGGGTCCCCGGGTAATTATCCAGCTTCAACAGGCTTCATCTTATTTTAGCAACATCGTTTGGCATCTGGAGTAGTCCGTATTTAGTGGAAACTGCACAGGCTTTGGTCAAACAGGAGCAACAGATCCCAGCTTTGCCCCCCCCCCCCATTGGCTTTGTGCTCTGCAGTCAATCACTCAGCCTTTCTGAGATTTGTTTCTTCAAATGCAATATGAGATAAAGGGACACCTACCTTGCGGGGCTGCTCTAAGTATTCAATATGATAATGTGTAAAATGCTTCACATGCAGTAGGTGTTCAATGAATATACATGGCATTATTGTTATTAGTCCTGTGGATACCACCCTGGCTTTCCGTCTTGTCATTCTGCCCAAGAACCTAATCCTTTCAAAACTCTTCATTCCAAATATCTCATGGGTGAAAGGGGAAAGAAGGGCTCTGGAGCTCAGAGAGAGCTTCTCAGGGCAGTGGATTAGGGCTTTCTCTTTCTCCCCGCGCCTCCCCCCCCTCCTAGGTGTCATCCTGCATTACAGAGCAGGAAGGAGAACAGGGGGTGGGCTTGGCGTGGAATCTAAGGAATCTATCAAATGAGAGAAGTAAATGACGTGACCAATCCCACTGGGTGCAGGGACCAGAATGCAGGCTCCTGATACAAAGCTTTTACACCCACCTCCCTGGGCTGTCTCAAGCTCAGATGAGCTGTGTGAAGCTGCCTTGACATCATAAAGCCGCAACACAGCATGAGGCTTTATCCTGCTCTTTCCAGTGAGCAACATGCCGGGGAAAGAGGTTGGAGCCCTTTGTGGGGTAGGCATGGGAAGGCAGTCAATACAGGCTGTTATTGAGCAAGGCTTCGCTGTAGGCAGCTGATGCTTATTCCTGCTGAAGAACCCCTGGAGCAGATGTGGTTCACCCAGGAGTGGGAGGGAGCTGGGATATTGATACACCAACCATCAAAGTCATTGGTGAGGGAGCCAGAGAAGGCCTTCAGACAAAGAAAGGCAGGTGTTGGCAAGTGGGAGTGGACAGGTGTGCACTGAAGTGATAGTAACAAGGGGATATGAGAGGGGCATCAACTGCATCTGCTACAATCTGGTAAATGCACAATAGGTTGCTGGTCCTGCTGTGTGCCCAACCTATGTATATGGAAACAAAGTAGAAGAAGACACAGTCCTTGACCTCAGAGAGCTTCTCTTCTACCCAAAAACTAGAATAATCAAGTGATAGGTTAAGAACAACTTGAAGGAAGACAGAATCATTAGGTCAGTGATGTAGTCTGGGAATGCTTTACGAAGGTATTGAGATTCTGGCCACCTCCTACTCACCCTGTTGATGAAGGCGGGACTCTCCTGACATAAATAGTATGAGATGACTGAACACACAACACCTGACACTGGGCAGATGAGATCAACAGCAGTTAACTACTCACATGTACTCACAGCCCAGGAAGAGGGACAGTGCCCACTACGCAGGAACATGTGGGAGTTGCACTCAGGGATAGAATGAACCAGCAGGGGCTGTGGGAAGCAGGCTTTATGGTGACAAGAGGATGAAGTGACCCTTGACTCCATGGGAGGATGTGATTGGCTTGTTTGAATAATTTTCCCAGCTGGAGGGGTGGGAAACCCATCAGGTTGAGGATTAGGGGTGCAGCTGGTCCAGCAGAGAGAGGAATAGCAGGCCAGGAGACTTTCCTGCTGGGTGGAGTGGTGTATCTGCCAAGAACAGAGGACCTCATGGCTAGGGACCTTGGGGACCCTGTGGGGTTCAAAGATGTCAAAACAGCACATGAAATTTCAGGCTTTACAACACAAGAGCTTAATAAATAGCACTCAGGTTTCTAAACCAATTGAAAAATAAGGCAAAATGACAAGAAAGATGGATGGCCAAACTCTCACTTTTGTTGTGATGACACTGGTATTGAATATTGAACATAGGGACCACTTCACACTCAGTTAGATAAACCTACAAACCCCGACACAGGTGGGTGGGAGAGACACAGGCCTCCCTGGGCACTTCAGTTTACTCCTTGGTAAAACATGCCTGTCCTACTATGTAGAAATATCAGAAGGGCTATCTACTAGCGTTTCTGGATGCCATAGCCAGAAGAAGAGCAAGATTCATGTGCAGAGAACCTGGTTTCATAGAGACCCTAGGAGAGTGCGGATCTCAGGACACACACGTCCAAGCAGAGAGATGGTAACCAAGACCTTGCAGATATCCCTCTTGCCAGTGGACAAGTTGTGGAAAACGATCAGTTTTAACAAAGACTATAGCCTCCAACATGCTTTATGTCTGTCTACCTTCTCTGAACCTGACAAGAAGCTGGAGAGGTTGTCAGCAAAGTTATTATTATGCCCATTTCACAGATGAAAACACTTAAGTCCCAGGAGCATAAGAGATTTATCCAAGTCTACAGCTTGGAACCCAGATGTTCTGAGTAACTCCTAGGCCAGTGCTCTTTCTTTTCTGATTTATTTGATGTCAACTCTGCATTTTGGGATATCTTTTATAATGAGGAAGATGTTATGGGATGAAAAAATATTAGAATTTAAGAGTTGATCACCGAATAGAGGTAGGAATGTAGAAATTCTCTTTGGCATTGGTTATCAAGATACTCTTCATGATGGAATTATATTGGAGGAGGGGGGCAAAGGGAAAGAGAGAAAGAGAGAGAGAGAGAGAGAGTCCTGAATTAGTTCTGCTTCCAGAGTCCTCTTGACCTAGCTGCACAGCATTTCCAGAACAGCCCTCCCCTTCGCATCTCAGGCTCTGCTTCCCTCACTCCAGTGGTCAGCTACATGCAAAAGAATGAAACCAGACCACTTTCATACACCATACACAAAAATAAATTTAAAATGGATTAAAGACCTCAGTGTGAGACCTGAAACCATAAAAAGTCCTAGAAGAGAGCACAGGCAGTAATCTCTCTGACATCGGCCATAGCAATATTTTTCCAGATATGTCTCCTGAGGCGAGGGAAACAACAGCAAAAATAAACTATTGGGACTACATCAAAATAAAAAGCTTTTGCACAGCAAAGGAAACAATCAACAAATCTAAAAGGCATCCTTTGGAATGGGAGAAGATATTTGCCAATGACATATCCAATAAAGGGTTAGTATCCAAAATATATAAAGAACTTACCAAACTCAACACTGAAACAACAAATAATCCAATTAAAAAATGGGCAGAAGACATGAACAGACATTTCTCCAAAGAAGGCATACAGATGGCCAACAGACACATGAAAAGATGCTCAACATCACTCATCATCAGGGAAATGCAAAGCAAAATCACAATGAGATATCACCTCGCACCTGACAGAATGGCTAAAATCAAAAACACAAGAAACAACAGGTGTTGGTGAAGATGTGGAGAAAAAGGAACCTTTATGCACCTTTGGTGAAAATGTACATTGGTTCTGCCACTGTGAAAAACAGTATGGAGATGCCTCAAAAAGTTAAAAATAGAACTACCCTATGATCCATCAATCCCACTACTGGTATTTACCCAAAGAACACATAAACACTAATTCAAAGGGACAAATGCACCCTTATATTTATAGCGGCATTATTCACAATAGCCAAATGATGGAAACAGCCCAAGTGTCCATCAATTGATGAATGGATAAAGAAGATTGGTATATATATACACATATATATGTTAACATATATTATGCACACACATGCACATGAATGCACGCGTGCGCACACACACACACACTGGAATATTATTCAGCCATAAAAAACAATGAAATCTTGCCATTTGCAATGACATGGGTGGAGCTAGAGAGTATTATGCTAAGCGAAATAAGTCTGTCAGAGAAAGACAAATACCATAGGATTTCACTCACACATGGAATTTAAGAAGCAAATGAGCAAAGGGGGAAAAAAGAGAATCAAACCGAGAGACAGAGTCTTAACAACGAACAAACCACCGGTGGTTACCGGAGGGGAGGAGGCTGGGGGGATGGGAGAAACAGGTGATGGGGATTAGGGCATGCACGTGTCGTGATGAGCACCAGGTGTTGTATGGAACTGTTGAATCACTATATTGTACACCTGAAACTACTATTACACTGTATGTTAACTAACTGGAATTCAAATAAAAACTTAAAAAAAAAGAAGAACAATGGTAACGTTTCCAGCCTGGGTGACTGGTGGACTGGAGCCGGGAAGCTGGTTCGGGGTGAAAAAGGAACCATTCTTCGTGTTGTAACTGGACGGTTGCTTCCTAAGAAACCCCAAGTTGCCCAAAACTCCCCAGCATGATAGACAAAGGTTTCAGTGCGACAAAGGGGAATGAGAATAGTGAAAACTCTCCCCTGCGTGAGCATCAGAATCCCTGAGGGAATTGAATAAAAATGCAGATTCCTGGGACCAAGCTCAAGGGATTCTTACTCAGTAGGGCTGGGGTGGGGCTGAGGGATCTGACTTTGTATCATTTGCCCTGGGCAATTCTGTACAGTTGGTTGACAGTTGCATTTTATAAACCCTGGTGTTAGGGCTGGAGAGCCTCAGAGCTGTAATAACAAAATGGTTTTTCCTGCTGGAATTATGTTACAAAAAGATGATGGTTCTTCTACCTCTGTGTGTATCTCATTATGGAAAATAATCAACTGGCTGATTAAAAAGAATGACAAACCTAAATAGCACCAAGAACAAGGAAAAAACTGATGAGTTCAAAGGAGACCAAAAAGAAGAAAGATGTTTTAAAAAACACATCATCAAAATGAGTTTCAGCATTCCACAGACCCAGAGGATGTTTCACCAACTGCCCCCCCGGAACAGAGCCACTGGTGGTCTGACACTGGCTTATAGCTGTTTACATAATTAAAACATGTGTAAGATTTGTCCTAAGCTGCTACTAGAAATTTTCTAAATTTTGTAAATTTATAATAGAGCAAGGACTTCTAGAACATCTCATGTACATGTATGCAAATGAGCACATGGATGTATACAAGAAAACAAAGGGGAGGATGTCCTTCTCTCTTTTCTACAAATAGGCCCTTACCTTATTTTAAAATCAGCTCTACAACAAAGCCGCCAGGAACAAGGGTACATTACTGTAGGATTCCGTTTTCATGAAGTTAAAAAACAGGCAACACTAAATTGTGCTGAGTGAAATCAGACGGGTAGGGTGGGAGGACTGGTACGGGGCATAAGGGAGTGGGAAATGTTCTAGATCTTGATTTGGGAAATGGTGGCAGGAAAAACTTGGTACATGTTCTCTTGACCGAAGTTGCCCTGGTGAAGTCTGCCGTGGCTTCTAAGTAATAAGCTGCCCAAACTTTCTGCTTTTGGCTTTTGTGTTTCGGGCTACTCGCGGTCAGGTGGCATGCCTATCTGCAGCAGAGGTGGTATCTGCAGGCATGGCCCAGAGCTGGGGGGCTCAGGCGCCTCGCTCTTGCCCATGTTTGGGGGGAACCTGAGCCACAAGTGGAGACGCCGGGTCTCCTCTTGCCCCGGAGAGATGAGCAGACACGCGAATCAGCAGCAGCGCCAACCTGTCAGAGCTGAAATGAGGGAAGGGGCAGCCTGGCCCGGCCCCCATCTTTACCCCCCCCGCCCCCCTTGCCCCGGCCCACATTGTCCTCACCTGTCGATAGCGATGGCCAGCAGGGCATTGGTGGAGACGTAGAGGGAGACGGTCCGCAGGTAGTTGACAGAGGCACAGAGCACGTGGCCGTGCTCCCAGGAGAGCTGGCGCACCACGTAGTAGTCCATCTCGAAGGGGCAGCAGATGATGGCCACCAGGAAGTCGGAGATGGCCAGGTTGGCGATGAGCAGGTTGGTGAGGTTGCGTAGCTTCTTATAGCGGGCGAGGGCAGCAATAAAGACGAAGTTGCCAACGCCGCAGACCAGCATGATGCCTGCCAGTGCCACACCGATGACGATCTTGGCAGCGAAGAAGGTCCGGGTCTTGGTCATGTCCTCATCCTCATCCAGAGGGAGGTCGTAGTCACCGTAGCTAAAGTTGAAGGGGAGGGGGGAGGTATGGTCTTGAGCTGGATTGAAGCTGGGCGCAAAACTAGTGTTTCCATTCTGGGCTGCCATGGCGAAGACTGCAGGTGGAGTGGTGTGGGGGTCTCAGCGGGCTGAGTTGGGGGTCCAGACCTTCTGCTGTCACGACTCACCCAGCCTAGCACCCTGCCCACATCCCTGAGGAGAGCCAACGCGCCATCCCGGACCCTGGAAGGAGACACAACCAGTGGGCACCCTGTAGGACAACGCCTGTGAGTATTCTCCCAGAGTTCCCCAAGTGTAGGCCAACCAGACCCAGTGACTCCCCTCAGACAGAACTACCCGGGGTACAGGGGAAAGGAGACATGAGATCTGGAAATTGGGAAATCTTCCACGGGCCGTCCGGTGGTCCTGGGCAAAGGATGAATTGGACTCTCCAAAGACATCCAAGAAGAACCTGCATCTTTGCCCTTTTCCCAGGGGCCAGGATCTGTGTTACTGCCCAGTCACACTCCCCTTCCCCACCATCAACTCCCGCAGGGTCTTCTCAAAGTTTCACAAGCCTGCTCCAGGCCGCTGGCCCAGGCTTCCACAGCAGTCACCAAGTTGCGCCATCTGTTGGTCAAGGACAATGAAGCCAGAGGACTGAGACACAGCCGGGTCTTTCCTCCAAAGCAGGGCACTGCTCCCTATGTCCTGACCAAACCTTGGATGTGGAAATCACCAAACCCATTTTCACATGGACAGGCTGAGTCATCTTGGGCCAGTGAGTTATACTGTCTGAGTCCCGGTCTTCCTGTAAACCAAATCCCTGCTGCCTAGCCCAGGGCCTGGCTGGTAGTAGGGACGGGACAGGAGTCTGTGGGATGAATGAATTAATGAGGATCTGCCCAGGATTGCGTAGGTGAAGGGGGCTATGGATGGGATGGAATTCTGCTGCTACTCCTCTGGGCTTTGAGAACCAGATCTAAAAAGAAATGCTTTGTCTGTGTCTCCTCCCTGCTCCCACTCTTCTGATCAGCTCCCTGTCCCCTTCACCAGAACCCACCCGGTTCCCCACCAGAACCAACCCTAACTGGGAGGCACCACATCCTGTCACCAAGCTGTTCATCCTCTGAAAGTGGTGGCCGCTCCATTTTAACCGAAAACAGCCCCCAAGAATGGGGGGTAGAACAAGGCGGGGGGCGGGGGGGAGAATGTGGTGTCAGTGAGGACCCAGGAGGGCCTGAGGGCTGCACTGTCCCTCATTGCCTGAGTCCTTTATGTACTCAGTACCTCAAGATGCCCATGGCAAAGGAAAATAAATTCTCTGAAGTACTGAGGGGACACCATTGGGTTCAAGGCGTCAGAGGGCCTCAGAACCCCCCCATCCCCAAACCCGCAGAATGAGGACCCCAGTCATCGAGCTGTGACCCGCCTCTCCCCGCTAAACACAACTGGAAACGACCCCAAGTGTGGGGGCCATGGGATGCTGGTAGCAAGAAGTGGACCAAACAGGACAGTGGGTTTGGCCCGGACCCGTCAGAGGAGGCGGAGAGCGAGGGACGGGAACCGTAGCAGCAGGGACAGCAGAAGCAGGGTGGCCGGGCCACTCCGACCTGCGGCGCGTCCGCCCGCTGCGCACCCGAGGGAAAGACCTCCGACAGATGAGGTCCTCCGCCCGGGTGGCTTCTCCCTCTCCCGCGAAGCCCCAATCCCCGCAGACAGCGCTCAGCCCGAGACGGGGAAGCGGGACTCGCGTCCTCTCGCCTTCCGCGCTGCGCGGCTCTCCAGTCCCCAGACCCTGGAGGAGAGGACGTGAGCCCGGGTGGCGCAGGTCCCGGCCCCATTTTTCGCGAATGCACTCCGTGCCCCAGACCAACCCGCTCCGGGAGCCCTCTCCCCTCCCCTCCCCTCCCCTCCCTTACTCACCCCCGGCGCGGCCGCGCGGTCCGGGAGGCGCCGCCCCGCAAGGGCGGGAATCGAGTCAGAAATTCAGGCTCAAAAAGCGAAGCGAGCGGGGCCTCCGGACGAGAAGAAAACTGGGAGTAGGGGCAGGATCCGGTGAGCCGGGAATTCTCCCGGAGAGGCTTCCCTTTTCAGCTTACCTTTCAACAAGACGCCCCCCTCCCATGCCCTCCCCTACAATTTGGAGCTCGCCCGCCCGCCCAGCACCCGCCGGCCCGGCCCCCTCCGCCCCTCCGCCGGCGCCCGCACGCCCCGGTCCCGGCTTCCCGTCGCCGGGTCCTGGCGGGCCCGTGGTGGGTGGCGGACTCTCCCGGCCCGAACTCCTCCACTTGGAGCCGGCCCGCGTGCCTCCCGAAAGGGGCGGGAGGCAAAGCCACCGGAATCCCCCCGAGAGAGAAGTGGGCGTCAGCGCCCCCAGCCCGGGCGACGCCCCCCACCGCACCAAGGGAGGCCCCGGACTGCGCAGAGCTCAGCACCTACCTGCCTGGGCGCCTCCTCCCGGCTCGCTCCGCTGCCCTGGCCGCTCGGTTGGGTCCTGGGGGCCCCCAACTTGCGCGTGCCGTGGCGCTGCGTACGGGGTGCTCTGCTTTCTTCCTTGCTCCCGCGCGCTCCCCCGCGCGTCGCGGTCTCTGTCTTCCCGCTGGAGTTGGCGCTCCGCCCTTGCAGTTGAGCACGGCGCCTCGGACCCGGCCCGGTGCGCCCCGCCCCGCGCTCGACCCCGCCCTGGCGTCCCCAGCCCGCCTCCCTCCGCTCAGTGGCCCAGGGTGGGCGCTGCGCTCCTGCACCAGGTGTGCCCCGGGCGCGGGGTGCGCGCACTTCTGACTGCGTTGGCGCGGATCCCCAGTCCGCGGGGTTGGCCGCTCGCAGGGGCTTCTGCGTCCTCGCACCCGAGTGTGAATGGGACTTCAGTAACTGGGGTTAGAGGGTGCGGATTCCGAGGAAGCGGCAAGGTCCTCAGTGCCCCGCCGAGGCGCCTCGCGGGGGTCGCCAAACCGAGAGTCCGGTCTTCGGCAGGAGCCCCGTGCTAGGGTCCGCTCCCGCACAAGGCTACTCCTTCAGGAGGAGGAGGCTGGGGTACATTCCGTTGTGCCCGAGAACTGGTGCCGGGGAGACTTTGAGGGTGCAGAGTGGGCCCTTTGAGGTGGGTGGTGGTTGAGGAGGAGGCCCCCGGGGAGGAAGCTGGGGATCCCGGGCAGGTTGCCCTGCTGAAATCTCCTACCCTGAAGTCCTCACCAAAAGCCTGCGATATCCATATCCACCACTGCCAGATTCCTTGGCCTTTCAAAGACCATCCCAACTGGGCCTCCGCCTGTCTGGAGCCCTGTTTCCAGAGCCCTCCACCTTGCTTCCGCCAGGCTCTGATTTTAGGCAATTTCTCTTACTTCTCTGATCCTTGGTTTTCTTACACAGATTGGGCAGATTCTTTTTTTTTTTTTTTTTTTTTTAAGATTTTATTTATTTATTTGAGAGAGAGAATGAGATAGAGAGAGAGCATGAGAGGGGGGAGGGTCAGAGGGAGAAGCAGACTCCCTGCCGAGCAGGGAGCCCGATGCGGGACTCGATCCCGGGACTCCAGGATCATGACCTGAGCCGAAGGCAGTCACTTAACCAACTGAGCCACCCAGGCGCCCCAGATTGGGCAGATTCTTTATTCGGATTGGGAAGGAAGAAATAAAATGGTCTGTGTTGCAGATGGCATGATGTCTGTAGAAAATCCGAAGGAATTGACACACAAAAAAACTTCTGGAACTAAGAAATGATTATAACAAAGTTTCAGGATACAAGGTTAATATTTAAAAGTCAAATGCTTTGGAGAGCCTGGCTGGCCCGGTTGGTTAAATGTTGGACTCTTGATTTCCACTCCGGTCATGATCTCAGGTTTGTGAGATGAAGCCCCCATGGGGTTGGAGGTGGAGCCTGCTTAAGATTCTCTCCCTTTCCCTCTGCTCTTCCCCCAACCTCTCCCTCCAACCCCCCAAAAAGTCAAATGCTTTCCTAGACACCAGGAATGAACAAGTGGAACTTGGAATTAGAAATACAATACTATTTACATCAGTAGCCCCCACAATAAAATATTTAGGTATAAATCTAGCAAAATATGTACAAGGTCCATATGAGGAAAACTACAAAGTCCTAATGACAGAAATCAAAGAAGAACTAAATAAATGGAGAGATATTTCATATTCACAAATAGGAAGACTCTATATTGTCAAGATGTCAGTTTTCCCCAACCTGACCCCAGCCTATTAGAGTCAATAAAATCCCAATCAAAATCCAGCAAGTTATTTGGTGGGTATCAGCAGATTCCAAAGTTTATATGAAGATTCAGAATAGCTAACACAACACAAAGGAGAAGTCAAAGTTGGAGGACTGACATTACCCGATACCAAGACTTCCTATAAAGCTACAGTAATCAAGGCAGTGTGGTATGGGTGAAAGAATAGACAAATAGACCAACGGAAGGGAACAGAGAGCCCAGAAATAGATCCACATAAATATAGTCTTTTGATTTTTGACAAAGGAGAAAAGGCAGTACAATGGAGAAAAAGTCTTTTCAACAAATGGTGCTGGAATAATTAGACATCCACATATAAAAAAAAATCAATCTAGACACAGACTTTATAGCTGTCACGAAAATTAACTCAAAAGGGATCACAGACTCAACTGTAAAATGCAAAACTATAAAACTCCTAGAAGATAACATAGGAGGAAATCTAGATGACCTTGGAATTGGTGATGGCTTTTTAGATACAACAACATAGGCAGGATCCATAAAAGAAAGAATTAAGAAGCTGGACTTCATTAAGATTAAAAATGTCAGCTCTGCAAGAGACACTGTCAAGAGAAATTAAAAGGCAAACCACAGACTGGGAGAAAATATTTGCAAAAGACACATCTGATAAAGGACTTTTACCCCAAATACACAAAGAACTTTAAAAGCTCCTCAATAAGAGAACAAACAAACCAATTAAAAATTTGGCCAAAACCTTCACTGACACCTCACAACAAGATATACAGATGGTAAATAAGCACATATCATCAGGGAAATGCAAATTAAAACATCAATGAGATACCACTACATACTTATTAGAATGGCCAATGTCCAGAACATTGACAACACCAAATGCTGGTGAGGATGTGGAGCATCAGGAACTCTCATTTGTGGTGGGAATGCAAAATGGTACAGCCACTTTGGAGGTTTGGTGGGTCTTTACAAAACTAAACATATTCTTACCATAAGATATAGCAATCACATTGCTTGGTATTTACCCAAAGCAGTTTGAAATTTATCTACACAAAAACCTGCACATGGGCATTTATAGCAGTTTTATTCATAATCACCCAAATCTGGAAGGAACCAAGATGTCCTTCAGAAGTTGAATGGATCAATAAACTGGAGTACATCCAGAGGATAGAATATTATTCAGTGCTAAAAAGAAGTGAGCGATCCATCAAGTCATGAAAAGACACAGAAGAACCTTAAATGCATATTACTGAGTGAAAGAAGCCCATCTAAAAGCCCTCCTGCTGTACCATTCCAACTCTATGACATCTTGGAAAAGGCAAAACTATGGGGACAGTAAAAAGATCAGTGATTGCCAGAGGTTAGGCAAGAGGAGGTGATAAATAGTTGGAGCATGGAGGACTTTTAGGACAGTGTAACTACTTTAGATGATATTATGATGGTGGATACATGTCAATTACACATTTGTTCAAACCCATAGGATGTACCACAGAAGGAGTGAACGCTAATGTGAATTATGGTCTTTGTGGGTGATGATAATGTGTCAGTGTAGGTTCATCGATCACAACAATTGTACCACTCTGGTGTGGGATGTTGGTAATTAATGGGGGAGGCTCTGCATGTGTGGGAGCAGGGGGTGTATGAGAAATCTCTGTACCTTCAGCTACATTTTGCTGTGAACCTAAATCTGCTCTAAAGAATAAAGGCTATTTAGTAAAGTGGGTACAGATTTTCTGGAGCTTGATTTGTTCATACATATAAAAAGCCTTGGAAATTCTGTATCCTTTAATGCAGAAATTATATTTAATGAGTTTTTCCTGTGGAAATAGTGAATGGAGGAGTTAAATATTTCACTCCAAAGACATTGAGAGCATCATAGTTTAGTGTAACAAGGAACTGGAAACAAAAAACCTGAACTTCCCATACTTCCACAGTTGATTAAAATGTGGTTAAAAATGTCTTTTATAAAAGACCACATTATCATTAAAATTTTTTTGAATCAGTAAAAATTCACATGATTCAAAAATCAAAACATACACAAAATGATACATTGAGGAGCATCCCTCTCACCCCTGGCGCCCTCTATTTTTTCCCCTTGCAACTTTTATTTTCTGTCTATTCTTCAAGTGTTTCTTTTGGTCAATTCAATGATATATTCTCATTTATTCCCCTCAAAGAAGTCTCCATATCAAAATATGGAGTCCTACTTCCTTCTTTTTCCTTTTTTAGTCTGTTGTGTGGATATGCTACAGGTTTTTTTAAGTTCTCTGTTGCTATAGACACATTGGCTTAATATTTTCAAACTATGCCTGTTAAATTACAAATTGGGTTATTTCCCAATTTGGGGCTAATACAGTGCTATACATAATGTTATGATATAAAATTGCCAGTGCTTCGGTAAATAACTTTGTATGTCACATCTATTTGTATATGTGCAAATGACAATAAATTGGGTAATAAATTCCTAAAATGGTATTGCTGAAAGCAATAATAATAAATAATAATAATAAAAGAAATAATAATAATAAAAGCATTTGTAATTTGGGTAGATATTGCCATGTTCAAGTCCATAGGGGTCTCGCCATTTTGCACTTCCCACGTAAGCAGTCTTTGGTGGAAGTGAGTGCCAGGGGCTGCACCTGAGTCAATAAACAAATATCTGTCAAAGCCCTAAGAAGGCAGTCATCAGAAGCAGGATTTCTCAGCAATGCTGGTTTCTCACACTTGACCTCAGGGTGTGCTCTCAGTCATCGCAAGTACGGTAGGGAGGGGCACTGTTCCCAAGAAAGTCACCTCCAGTTATTTTTCTGTGTCTCTGTGTGTCTCTCATGGAGTAACTAATCATCAAATTAAGAAGCTGCCCTTGTTATCAACTGGAGACACATTTTTAGGTAAGCTTTTAAATTACTTTGCAAGTAAATGTAATTAAGCTCTATGAATTATTGTTGGAAAAAGTGGGATATAATTAATGGTTCAAGGTGCGTTTTGGCACTGGTTTCTACCCTGCATTCCATCTACCCAGTTTTCACAGCCTTCTGGAAGGAGTGGCTCTATAAGACATGTTGGTTGACTCACCTGATCCAGGTAGGGTATTTTTCTCTCTCTGGTTTCCGGCTGCTTCCCGGGGGCAGTGCCAGGAAGATGATAGCTGGGAGTGAGATGAGGCATCAGGCTGTGTCCACCAGCACACTCCCTACCTACGGAAGGAGAGACAAGAACATGGGGCGCCTGGGTGGCTCAGTCAGTAAAGTGCCTGCTCTGGGCTCCGGTCATGATCCCAGGGTTCTGGGATCAAGTTCCACATCAGGCTCCCTGCTCAGCGGGGAGCCTGCTTCTCCCTCTGCCTGCCGCTCCCCCTGCTTGTGCTCTCTCTCTGTCACTATCTGTCTCTCTCTCTGTCAAATAAATAAATTAAAAAT